AGGGCTCAGGCGAGGGGGCAGAGGTGGTGGAGGAAAAGCAGCAGACAATGCCTGACCTTCGACCTCGAAATGAAAAGACACTTCCCCCCACCAGAGGTCAGCTGGTCAGCCGGTGCCATCGTTTCACAGACAGGCACGAGGAGGCTCAGAGAGGGTCAGGGCTCCGCCGTGGCCACACAGCCACCCCTCACTTCAGACCCAGCCCCGTGGCACGCAGGGCCGAATGTGTTTTGCTTCTGGTCCCTGGAGCGGTGTGAGGGAAGGGGCGGGCTCTCCCGCCGGTGTCTGCTGTGGGACACTGCCACCCTGCCCGGACGTGGAGGCTGGCGCCAGCTGCACCTGCCCAAGACAACCTGCCTAAGACAACCTGCCTTTGGTAGGTCCAGTATTTGTCGACTTTTTTAGTTAATTTAATATACTTTAATAAAAAAAAGTTAAATCCAAATAAAAATCCAGATTTGCATGTCCTCTGAAAATAACTCCATCTGATAACATAGCCCCATTTTCACCATGTCACATTGTCACGTGCCACTGGAGCCCGGCAGTGGCTGCTGTCAGCCCACCATAGTCCACCCCCACCCTCCCAAATGTGCATACCTTCTGGCCAAGGGGACAGCGGAGACTGTGGCTCCCGGAGTCACTGGCCTCTCTGGACAAGGCTTGGGGCAGGTCCCTCTCCTGGGATGCAGGACCAGCTGTGGGAGTCCCTGGAACAGAGCTTGGCCAAGGTGTGTGCTGAGACAGGATCGTCCCGACTCCGGGGCTGCATCAGGACCCCTGCCCCGGGCCACCCATATCCCCACCTCTCATACAATTCATCTGCAGGGATCCAGGAGCCACTTGCCTGCCTCCTAAAATGACCCCCTACCATAGGGGTGGTGTGTCCCCACACTTGGGCAACACTCGCTTACCTGTCTATGTTCCGTAAGAGCTACAACAGGGTAGCAAAGCACTTTTCAGAAAACAGACCAGGGAGGAGCACTGGCACAGTGCCAGGCACAGAGGAGGCACCAGAGTGGCAAATGAGTGAGTGAGTGAGTGAGGAGTGAGTGAGTGAGTGAGTGAGTGAGTGAAGAGTGCATGGATGGATGGGTAGATGGATGGGGGACGGGCGGATGGTAGGCGGGT